AGGCATCCAAACTGGGAATGGAAGAAGTAAAACTGTTACTATTTGCAGATGACATGATACTATATAGAGAAAACTCCAAAGACTCTACCAAAAAAACTATTAGAACTGAAAAATATATTCAGAAAAGTCACAGGATACAAAATGAACATACATAAATTGTATACTAATAACAAGTTATCAGAAAGAGAAATTAAGAAAACAATGCCATTTACAATTACATCAAAAAGAATAAAATACATGGGAATAACTTTAACCAGAGTCAAAGACCTGTACTCTGAAAACTTTAAGACTGATGAAAGGAATTGAAGATGACATGAAAAAATGGAAAGACATACCATGATCATGGATTGTAAGAATTAATATTGTTAAAATGTCTGTACTACCCAAAGCACTCTACAGATTCAATGTGATCCCTATCAAAATACCAAAGGCATTTTTCACAGAACTAGAAGAATCCTAAAACTTGTATGAAACCACAAAGACCCCAAATAGCCAAAGCAATCTTGAGAAAAAAGAACAAAGCTGGAGGTATCATCCCCAAGGTTTCAAGCTATACTACAAAGCTATAGTACTCATAATAATGTGGTACTGACATAAAAACAGACACAGAGATTAATAGAATAAAACAGAGAGCCCAGGAAAAAAACCCATGCATATGTGGTCAATTAATCTATAACAAAGAAGGCAAGAGTATACAGTGGGGGCAACTGGGTGGCTCAGTTGGTTAAGCTTCTGACTTCAGGTCAGGTCATGATCTTATGGTTGGTGAGTTTTAGCCTTGCATCAGGCTCTGTGCTGACACTGCAGAGCCTGCCTGGGATTCTCTCTCTCTCCCTCTCTCTCTGCCCCTCCCCCACATGCTCACTCACTTGCTCGCTCTCTCAAAATAAATAAATAAACTTTAAAAAAGAATATACAATGGGAAGAAATTTAAAATGGATTAAAGACTTTAATCCATAAAATACGGCCTGAAACCATAAAATTCCTAGAAGAAAACATAGGCAATGAGCTCTTTGATATAAGAGCAACACTTTTTTTCTTTTTAAAATATGTTTATTTATTTTGAGACAGAAAGAAAGAGAGAGTGAGAGTGAGGAAGGGGTGGAGAGAGAGGGAGAGAGAGAGAGAATCCCGAGCAGGCTCTGTGCTGTCAGTGTGGAGCCTGAGGTGGGGCTCAATCTCATGAACTGTGAGATCATGACCTGAGCAGAAATCAAGAGGCAGCCGCTTAACTGACTGAGCCACCCAGGTGCCTCTCTCTCTCTCTCTCTTTCCTTCTTTCCTTCTTTCCTTCTTTCCTTCCTTCCTTCCTTCCTTCCTTCCTTCCTTCCTTCCTTCATCTCTCTTTCTTTCTTTCCCCTCTCTCTCTTTCTTTTAAATGTTAACTTAGCAATTTTTATTTTTTTTGGCTCAGTCTCTTCGGACAAAGGCAACAAAAGCTAAAATGAACAAACGAGACTATATCAAACTAAAAAGCTTTTCATGCAAACCATCATCAAAACAAAAAGACAACTACCGAATGGGACAAGATAATTGCAAATCATATATCCAGGAAGGGGTTAATATCTAAAATGTAGGAAGGACTTACACTACTTAGCAAAACAAATAACCTGATTAAAAAATGGACAGAGGGCCTGCATAGACATTTTTCCAAAGAAGACATACAAATGGCCAACAGGCACATGAAAAGATGCTCAACATCACTCGTCATCAGGGAAATGCAAATCGAAACCACGATGAGATATCACTTCCCACCTGTCAGAGTGGTTAAAATCAAAAGCACAAACAGTAAGTGTTGGTGGGGATATAGAGAGAAAGGAAAGCTTGTGCGCTGTTGGGAATGTAAACTGTGGAAAATGGTATGGAAGTTCCTTTAAAAGTTAAAAATAGAACTACCATATGATCCAGTAATTGCACTCCTGGGTGTTGATCCAAAAAATACAAAAACACAAATTCAAAGGGATCCATGCACTCCTATGTGAGCAGCAGCATTGTTCTACAACGGCCAAATTATGGAAGCAGCCCAAGTGCCCATCAATAGATGAATGGATAGAGAGAGATGGGGTCTATAGACACAATGGAATATTACTCAGCCACAAAAAAGAATGAAATCTTGCCATTGTGAAGACATGGATAGACCTAGAGAATACTATGCTCAGTGAAACGTGGTAGAGAAAGAAAATACAGTAGGATTTCATTTATATATAGAATAAAAAAAACCGCAAATGAACAAACAAAACAAAACGGCAACAGACTTATAGATACAGGAAACAAACGGCTGGTTACCAGAGCAGCGAAGGGGGGCGGGGGCAGGTGAAACAGGTGAAGGGGATGAAGGGGTACAAACTTCCACTTATAAAATAAATAAGCCATGGGGACGAAAAGTACAGCAGGGGGAACACAGTCGATAATATCCTAACAACGCTCTATGGTGACAGATGGTAACTAGACTTATCATGGGGATCATTCCATAATGTATAAAATACTGAATCACTACGATAGACACTTGAAACGAATACAATATTGTAGGCCCATTATGTCAATAAAGGGTGTGTGCCTCAAACATTTGAGAAAAGGTGACCGTCTAGGGAAGCCACCGTGTTCACTTCTTGGCTCTGCACGGTCCTGGATGCAGCCGCGAGCACGCGTCACCGGCCAGGAGCCAGCATGGAGCCCTCCTGAGACCCCCGAGATGCCAGCGGGAGCCCAGGAGTGCCCCCTTGCAGGGAAGGGGCTGCATTCCAGCCTCACTGATGGGAGCGGCAGTGCTGACATTTCCCACTTCCCCAGGATCCCACAAGGAGGTCTAGCCATCACGCAGGCTGCAGGGGCTGGGAGAGGGGGCTGCCCCACACAGCCCCTTCTCTCTGTGACCGGGCCTGAACCTAGGAGGAAAAGGTGGGTGAGGAGGAAGTCAGTGACCCAAAGGCCCTCTCAGCTGAGTCCTTCCTGCCCTGGCATTGAGGCAACAGTGCTTGAGGTTTTTGGACTGTGCCCACACCTTGAGCAATGCCTCTGTATCTCACTCTGATGCAAGCCCAGGAGGCTCACTAGTGGACTTTGTGGGGGCAGGGGAGTGGAGGACAGTGCCACTGGGCCCTGCTCAGGTGTCCTAGCTCACTGGGGGAGGGGTTTCCCTCCCACTAATCCCAGGCTCTCTTTATCCACCTTCTAGACCCAGGGGCAGCAGAAGTCTGGTCAAGGCGGTCTGGGTGAGGCCAGGCCAGGTGCTCTAGGGTCTCACCCTTCAGTGACCCCACCTCACCTCTGTCAGAGGCTGGCCAGGGTGGGAAGAGGGCCCAGGATCTACCTGATTTCTTTTTTTTTTTTTTTTTTTTAATTTTTTTTCAACGTTTTTATTTATTTTTGGGACAGAGAGAGACAGAGCATGAATGGGGGAGGGGCAGAGAGAGAGGGAGACACAGAATCGGAAACAGGCTCCAGGCTCTGAGCCATCAGCCCAGAGCCCGATGCGGGGCTCGAACTCACGGACCGCGAGATCGTGACCTGGCTGAAGTCGGACGCTTAACCGACTGCGCCACCCAGGCGCCCCTGGATCTACCTGATTTCAATCGACTTTCTACCCGCTGTGGGTGGAAGAACTCATACTCTGCCAGCAGGAAAGGCCCTGGGCTGTCTCCCCAAGTGGGGTCACAAGGTCAGGATCACGATAAAGGCCCCCATTCTGTCCTGGCAGTCTCTGGGGCTCCCATCTCAGGGGGGGCCTGGGCCATGGCAGTATCACGTAGCAGTAAAAGCATGATGCCTGCCTTCCAGGAGTGAGGACAGAGCTCCCAGAGAGCCTCTGACTAGGATCGGGACACCCACGGGGCACCCAGAATTCCTGGCTACTTTCCAGTTCCTCTACTCTGATTCCCAACCCAGATGGACTCTGGCTGTGCTCTGACCTTCGGCCGGGGGGTTGCGTGAGCTCAAGACACCTCATGGCTCAGCCAAGCCCCTGGAAGCTTCAGCAAGGCTGGGGTACAATGGAGGCCCTAGTCCCCCACAGCTCACAGTCTAGCTCGGGAGGGCGGATCAGCCCGGGTGCGGATCAGCTGGTTGGCAACTGAGGCGTGATCGCTGAAAGGGGTGTAGGCAGTGAGGCCTGGAGGGGTGCCCGCCGGGGAGCTCAGGACGCTTCGTGAAGGGCAACAACTTGAGTGGAGCCCTGAGGGAGAGGGGAGGAGGGAGACACCACCAGAGGCGCCAGCGCTGGCTGGGGGTGCAAGAGCGGAGGACTAGAGGCGGAGGGCACGACTGTCCTGTGGATGCCTGGGGTACAGGGAGTGAGAGCGGGTGCAGAGTGGAGAGGGTTGCCGGGGCCTGGTGGGAGAGGAGCCGCGACGATTTGCTATAGGACACGCTACGAGAGGCACGCACACATGCACCCGTGAGGACGTGCCAAGCCTGTCGTGTGCTCCTGCACCTGTGCCTCATCTGCGTGCGTGCGTGCGTGTGTGAGCGTGTGTGCACGCACCTGTATGCATCCGCAAGGGTACTGCAGGTTCTGGAATCTACAGTCAAGCGTGCTCCAACTTGCCTAGCCCTTTACAAAAGCTAGCTTTCTTTTTTCTTTTTCTTTGCTTCCTTCCTTCCTTTCCCTCTCTCTTTCTCTCCTCTCCTTTTCTTCTTTCTCTTCTCTGCTCTCTCTCTCTCTCTCTCTCTTTCTTTCTTTCTCACACCAGGCCCTGAGCTGGGCTAGAGGGTACTGGGGACAAAGGCCGCTGGGGGAGGTCAGACACAACCTATGATGATTAGGCAGGCTGCTAAGAGGTAGCGCTTCTCAGGCTGTGCGACAATACCCATCCTCTCCAGAGGGGAAGGGGAGAGAGGAGAAGAGACTTTAACACTGGCAGTCAAGTGCAGCTGACCCTGGGACGCGGGCTGCCTCCCCTACCTACAGGGCCCGGTGCCCTGTGAGTCAGAGGGGAAGCCCCTCCCGCGGGGCCCTCGGCGAGGAGGCAGTTCCCCCCACGGCCCCCCGGGGGCGCTGCGGGGGAGGCGGGGTGGGCCCTGGAGCAGCGGCTCTCGCTCTCGGGCGCCCAGGGCGCTCACTCTCTCGGCACTCACTCGACCGGAGGTTTCTCGGCTGGCCGTGTCCCGCCGCTCCCGGAGCAGCAGGAGCCCCCCTGCACGCCCGCGGTCCCGCTCCGGCCCCCGGGGCTCCAGACGCCGCCGCCCGACGGCGACATGGGCGTCCCCCTAGTCCCGGAGGCCGGTGGCCGGCGTTGGGGGCCTGTGCTCCTCACTCTCTTCCTGGCTGCCTCCCGAGGTAAGGTCGGCAGGAGCCTGGGCACTGGGGAAGTGCCCCGGGAGAACAAGGGGTGGGGGAAGGGGTCGCAGGCAGCTGGGGGGCGCCCCCCCCCTCAGCCTGCGCGTCTCCTACCTGCTGGGACTGCTGGGCAGGGGCCAGCAGCTCCCTGCCAAGTGTTCTGGCTGGGTACATCTGCACGTTCTGACAGCTGCCCGAACTGCTTCTCGCCTGACCCTTCCCTGCCCAGAGAGCCCCCGGGCAGGAGCAGCTGCTGTAGGGCAGGAGACAAAAACGGTGGGGACAGCCCCAGCATTTTCTAGTGGCTGCCACTGGCTTCTGACTCCTGTGGTCTCTCCCTGCCCCTCCAGCCTCAGGGCTCCAGGATCTCACTGGGCACAGGGGGTGTGGTACTCTCTGCGCCCTGTTCCCTGGTGACACTCCTGGTTGACCCTTGGGGGGCACTGGTCCACACCCCGATGTGGGTGCCCATCGGGTCCTTATCCTGAGGGTCTGGTTGCTGAGAGTTGAAGAGTCAGCTGATTCCTGGCATCTGGCTAAGCTGCAGCTCAGGGACTGATGTGGGGGCACTGGGGAGAATGTGGGGGTATTTCCCCAGCTCACCCGTGAGCCCGTTCTGGGTCCTGGGATAACTTATGACATCTTTTTGGTCTCAGTTTCCTCAGAAGCCCCACACCAGGGCGGCACCACTTTCTTCTTCCGAAGTCCAGACTGTCACAAGTCCAAGTGGAATCTTGGCTGGGGCTCCTGGGGGTAGGGCAGAGGTCGGGGTACCCACAGCCTGGCCCCTGGCTCCTGCCTGCCCAGCGCCGGAGTGGCTGGATTTCAAGGGAAGAGGGGGCCAGCAAGCAGCCTGTGAACTACACTTTATGGGGAAGGCCCAGGGAAAGCTTGAGTCATGCAGGGAGTCAGGGAGGCTGGAAGAAGGTGGGGCACTTGGCACAGGGACCCAGTGGGTGTGTCAGAAGGAGAAAGGAGGAGGAGCACAGGGGAGGAAGGAGAGGAGGGAGTCTAGAGGACCTGGAATGTACCTCCCAAACGAACTGCGTGCCTGTAGGCAGTGTGTTATCTCAGCATTTGGAGGCTGGCCTCTGATAAGGAGGAGGGAGCCCACACCCCTCCCCACAGAGCTGCCCAGCCCTGGCCTGGATACTTCCAGGATGGCGGTGGCGGTCTCGGCACCAAGGCCACACTGCATGGCAGGACGTGGCTTCCAGAAGGAGCAGGGCATGGTGGCAGGCAGGAAGGCCAGCACCACACCCCCCAGAGAGCACTTGCCCCGCCCCTTTCGCCTCAAGTGACCTCAAGAGGCCCTTCTGTTTTCTCACCCCTGCCCCGCGGCTGCTCTCTGTTTAGCAGCCCCAGTTTGGGAAACTGAGTTCTAGAGAACAAGGCATAGGGGCCCACCCGGCAGAGTAGCCGGTAGCAGAAAGGCTCAGCACCCCTGGCTCCATATTGTCTACATAGCCAGAAGCCTTCTCCCCTAGTGGTTCTGGTACTCAGCTTGGCACCCCAAAGGGCCATCGCTCCCTGGGCCCAGCTCACGGCAGTGATTAGGGCTCTAAGCAGCTTTCCCCTAAAAGGGGTCAGAAGCATTCTCTTAGCTTTGAACTACCCTGGGCCTCAGTAGTCTTAACGGTAATATGGGCACGGTCGTGAATATTCACACTACCCAGTACGCTGTGCAACACGGGTGTGAACAGACGGAGGGCTTGGTCGCAGGCACGGTCAGAAGGGTCTGTGAGTTGGAAAGACCTACTCCCTGGCCTGCTGAGGTGCTGGGTTGCTTTGGGCAGGATTTGCTCAACGTCAAAGCCTCCACGTCTGGGAAGGCGAGAGGGGGGTGGCTGGCGTAGGCCTTCTTTGTAAGCTCCCGGGGTTGGGTCGGCACCGAGGACAATGGGGGTGGAGAGCAGGCTGCTCAGAAGCCCAGTAAGAATTGAAGATGCCCCTTACCTGGACCCGACTCAGGGTGAGGTGGGTGGAGGGAAGAGCTAGGACCCGGCAGACCCTAAGGGTGGCAGAGACCCTTCCTCCCTTACGGGCACTCCTAGGACCTGAGGAAGCTCTTGTCCTCACCATGTCCTTATAGGCTAGTCCAGGAGGCCCAGACTCTGGGACTAGCACAGGGAAGTGCACCGAGGCCAGGGAGGGGAGACCCCTTCTTCCCCTTCGTGGGAAACGGGACTGCAGGGTCTTGTTGAGTAACCCAGTGGCGCAAGCCTCTGACACAGCAAAGGTCAGCTCTTAGGAAATCCTCTACCTTCTGTCCAGAGGCCCCGAGGTGGCTCTTGAGGCCGGCCATTGGGCACAAGGGGGCATCTACCCAATATTGGGGACAGCCAACAATACCAGGGAGTCCCTTCCCGAGCTGGGCCAGCTGTTCCTGTTTCCTCCCCCAAGCAGGGCAAAGGTTCCCTGCTGGGGCCTGACCTTCCTGGGAGAGGGCGGCCCAAGTGGGAGGAACAGCTGGGAAGCTGAAAGAGGCCACCTCCCTCTATACATATATATATGGGTCTTCACCCTAGTAGATCAAGGGAAGGAAAGAAGGGAGGGCTCCTGGGTACCCATCCGGCCTATTGGCAGCGACCCCTTCAACCAGCACTGAGCCCCACATACTGAGCCTGAGGCCCCCCGTTTTAGGTCAGCTATTCATCCAGGAGCAGTCTGGCTTCACCTGGACGGGGTGAACCTGGGATTGGCCGTGCCGCGTGCCATGGGCTGCGTGCCACCCCGCATGGGGATGGTGAAGCAAGGGACCCGAAGTTGTGTGCCTTGCATGCTTCCCATACAGCCCCGTCCCTTAACAGTCTGGCCTCGGGAGTCAGCCAGAACTAGGTCCAAATCCCACGGTGGCCATTGACTGCTGTGACTTTGGGCCAGTTACTCGGTATCTCTGAGCAAGTTCCTTCATCTCTAACATGGGACGATGGCAGCACCTCCCTCAGAGGGCTGCTGTGAAGGGTCAGTGCACAAGCTCGGCACAGCACCCGGCACCTGGGGAGCATTAAGCTGTTTCTTGGCTTTCCGAGGCCGCATGCCACTGGCTCTCCGTCTACGTTCCCTGCTGCCTACAGAGCCAGTAGAGAGCCCAGGGTGTGGGAGGGCGTTGACCGATTTCACTAGGACTGGACTCTAAGGATCCTGGAGGTCTGAAGGATGCACCGGTCCAGCCACCTGTCGGCACCTCTAAGTGTTTAAAGCGTGAAATGTCCGTGGAGGTACCGGTAGATTCTCTTAAAGGTGTTCTCTAGAGATGGGGAATTTGCAGCTTCAAGGCAAGACCAGCTCGGGGTTTGCCTGTCTCACTGGGATCTTGCAACTGATCTTTGCAATTAGCCTATTTACTGTGGCTGACTGTCCCCAGAGAGAAAGACAGTGGCTGTCGTGCCCATCCATCATTCAGTAATGAACTTGCTGTGCTTCTGCCCAAGCAAGCCCAGTCCTTTGAATGTTCTACATGGGATGCTATTTCCCATGGGGACCTGGGTTCAAGTCCTGCCTCTTCCATTCACTGTGGGACCAGTCTCTTTCCCTGAGACACGGGCAGCCTGGGTGCCGTGGTTTCAGTGAGGCTGCCCACCCCCTTCTGAAGGGTAGTTCCATGGTGGTGTTTCCCGAGCTTCCGTCATCTGCTCATTACCTTTGGGATTTCTGCAGCATCCGACAATCGCATGTACTTATTTTTTCCCCCTCCAATCAACTCATTCTTTTCCTTGAGTCAATAGATTTGAAAAGGAAACTTTCTATCACTGCCACCAATGGAAAGCCAGTATCGCTTGCCGTAAATAGAACAAAATCACACGAGTACCTAATAAGAACACTAAATAGGAGTATTAAATTCTAGTCGGAAACTATCGTCCGGGGGAGGCTCTGAGCCCGAAACCGCTGTCCCTTGTTTAAAAAAA